ACGCGTTGGCTTCGATGCAGCAGCAACACAGCCCGAGGCGCCGATGCTGCAGCTGCCCCCCAGCAAACTCAGCAGTGCTGCTGCTGCTGCTGCTGCTGCTGCTGCAGCTAGAACAACAACAGCAGCAGCAGCAGCAGCAGCAGAAGAGAAGACAGCAATTACTCTTCCTATTGCTTCACGCCAGGCGCGTAGGCGATTAACAGCTGCAGCAGCAGCAGCAGCAGCAGCAGCGACGGCAGCACCCACACCAGCAGCAGCAGCAGCAGCAGCAGCAGCAGCAGCACCAACAGCAGCAGCAGCAGCAACAGCAACAGGGGCGGTGTCATCCCCTGTTGCTGCAGTAAGGGCTCGCGCAGCTGCTCTCCGCAGCGCCGCAGCAGCAGCTGTTGCAGCAACTGCAGCAGCAGCAACTGCAGCAGAAACAGCAACAGCAGCAGCAGCAGCAGCAATATCTCCACGCCAACGGCCTGCTGCTGCTGCACCTGAGGAGTTGCCACCCCCCAAAAGACGGCGCCAGCAGCAGCAGCAACAGCAGCAGCAGCAGCAGCAGCAGCAGCAGCAGCAGAATCAGCAGCCCGCCAGCGCGGGGAGGCAAAAACAGCAGCAACAACAAGGACAGCAGCAGCAAAAGCAGCTGCAGCTGCTGCAGCCAAGTGAGCAGCAGCAAGGCCCCAGAATAAAGCAACAGGAGCAGCAGGAGCAGTTGCTGCAGCAGCAGCAGCAGCAGCAACAGCAGCAGCAGCGAGATTGGGCGAACAGCGCTGCCGGCTGCACAGGGTCTCCGCCTACGCCTACATCTGCAGCAGCAGGAGCAGCAACGGCAGCAACACGAGCAGCAGCAGCAGCACCTGCTGCTGCTGCTGCTGCTGCTGCTGGTGGGTGGCGCAGCAGGTGGAAGGCAGCAGCACAGCCGCGGCAGGCAGCAGGCCGCTCCTGGGCGGGTGTTGTATACAGACCTTCTAGGCGTCCTGCTGCTGCTGCTGCTGCTGCTGCTGCTGCTACTTCTGCTGCTGTTAGTGCTGTTAGCGCTGGAGGTGCTGCAGAGCCTGCCCCTGCTGCTGCTGCTGCTGCTGCTGCTGCTGCTTGTCGCTGCGCAGCAACACCCAGCAGCAACAAAAGCAGAGACGGTGCAGGACAGTTAAGGCGAGAAGCAGCAAGCGCAGCACCTGCTGCTGCTGCTGCTGCTGCTTCTCCTGCTGCTGCTGCTGCTGCTCCTGCTGCTGCTGCTGGGGGTATGTTCTGGGGCAGCAGCTTGCTGGGGGCCCTCTCAGCCCGCAGCAGCGGCATCGGCTCTGCTTTGTTGCGGCCAACGCGGCGCCTGCTGGGACTACACAGCAGCAGCAGCAGCAGCAGCAGCAGCAGCAGCGGTAGTAGCAGCAGCAGCAGCAGCAACAGTGGTAGGAGTAGCAGCAGCAACAGCAGCAGTTCTCCACAAGTGGGAGCGGCAGCGCCTGCCGGTGCATCGCAGCGTCGGGGTGCGGCAGACAGCCGCAGCAGCAGCAGCAGCAGCGCCAGCAGCAGCAGCAGCAGCAGCAGCAGCAGCTGCAGCAGCAGCAGTAGCAGTGAACTCCAGAGGCGACATCCCCCAGGGGGTGCTCGGAGGAGCAGCAGAGGTGTCGCAGCAGAAAACAATGAAAATACAAACAACAATGACAGCAGCAGCAGCAGCAGCAGCAGCAGCAACAGCAGCAGCAGCAGCAGCAGCAGCAGNCAGCAGCAGCAGCAGCAGCAGCAGCAGGAAGAGCCAGCTGTCTGTGCTGGAGCGGTCTGAGGTCCCCCGGCTGTATAGACGGCTGCTGCGGCGTGTGGCGAGAGCAGCAGGCAGCTGCAGCGTGAGTAAGCCTTCATTGCTGCTGCTGCTGCTGGATGCAACAGATGGTTCTGCTGCTGCTGCTGCTGCTCTTGGTGGTGTTAGCAGCAGCAGCAACAGCAGCAGCAGCAGCAGCAGCAGCAAGAGCAGCAGCAAAAAAAAAGCTAGACTAGGTGAGGTAGGCAGGTTGCTGCTGCTGCAGCACGCGTGGCAGCGGGCAAAGAACGTAGCTAACTGGCGACGCATGCAGCTAGCTCAGGGTTTGGGGTGTACATACACCGCAAGAGGGAGAAGAAAGGATGCAGCAGCAGCAGCAGCAGCAGCAGCAGCAACTGCTGCAGCACCTGTTGCTGTCGCCAAGACTGCTGCATAGTCGCATCAAGTCAAACTGGAGAATGCTGCTGCTGCAGCAGCAGCAGCAGCTGCAGCAGCAGCAGCAGCTGTAGGAGCAGCTGTTAGCAGCAGCTGCAGCAGCAACAGCTGCAGCAACAGTTGCAGCAGCAGCTGTTAGCGAAAGCCGTATCAGAAACAACTGCAGCAGCAGCTGCAGCAGCAGCTGCAGCAGCAGCTGCGGCAGCAGCTGCGGCAGCAACGGCAGTAGCAGCAGCTGTAGCAGCAGCAGCAGCTAGGCCAGCAGTAGCGACAGCTGAAGCAGCAGCAGCGACAGCATGCATTGAGGCCTGCAATGCATGCGTTGCTTTTTTTCTCGTTTGCTGCTGCTGCTGCCGCTGCTGCTGCTGCTGCTGCGCTGCTGCGGTGTATATGCACAGTTGTTCGATCGTTTCTGTTGTATTTGGTGTTATCATGTTTTAGACATTGTTTTTAATTATTCTTTTTAAGTTATTAAATAAAAAATAAATAAAAAATAAACAAAAAATACACACGATACATACGCGGCGGTGGGGCTCTGTATGAACACCAACCCCACCCGGGCGGCGGCAGCTCAGCCCCCCAGCAGCAGCAGCAGTTGAGGGTTTAGGGTTTAGGGTTTAGGGTTTACAGCTTAGTAAAAAATCAATGAAACAGCAGCAATAACAACAGCAGCAGCAGCAGCAGCAGCAACCCCCCCTCGCCGGCCCCTCTAGGGGGCGCGTGCAGTGCTGCTGCTCTCCTCGAGCTGCCTATACACCTCAGCACACAAGGCGCCAGTTTTAATTAGCTGCAGCCAGAGATTAACCCTAAACCCTAAACGTACGCGGTAACAAGGTACAGAGCAGCAGCAGCTGCTGCTGCTGCTGCTGCAGCGGGAACTCCAGAAGCTGCTGCAGCAGCAGCTGCTGCTGCTGCTGCCGCAACACCAACTTCTGAAGGAGCAGCAGCTGCTGCAGAGGTTTCTGCTGTAGTATGAAGAGGGGGGGAAACGTTGCTGCTGCTGCTGCTGCAGCAGCAGCAGCAGCAGAAGCAGCAGCAGCAGAACATTCAGAGCCGACAATGCTGCAGAGATCACTGCTGTCGCGCTGCAGCAGCAGGAGAAGCAGCTGCTTCTCAAGCAGCGATGAGCGAGCCAGCAGCAAGAGCAGCAGCAGCAAGAGCAGCAGCAGCACCATGAGCAGCAGCACCAGCAGCAGCAGCAGCAGCAGCAGTAACAGCCTGCATCGGGGTTTAGGGGGTCTCCTCCCAGTCAAGGATGAGCCCTTGCTGCTGCAGCAGCAGCAGCAGCAGCAGCAACTGCTGCAGCAGCACGTAAAGCGGCGTCGTGGGCGAGGACCTGCTGCCTCCCGTCTTGCTGCAGACGCTACGGATGCAGCAGCAGCAGCAGATGCAGCAGCAGCAGCAGCAGCAGCAGAAGCAGCAGCACAGTCGTTACCCTCTTGGTTGCAGCTGCTGCTGGGGACGTTCAAGCTGTACATACACCGCAGCATATCTCTTGCTGCTGCGCTGCAGCGTCTATCGGGTTTGCTGCAGCAAGCTGCTGCTGCTGGCACCGTATGCAAGCGCAGCCAGCGCAGCAGAAGCAGCAGCAGCAGCAGCAGCAACAGCAGCAGCAGCAGCAGCAGCAGCAATCAGGATGTTGACTTGTCTTTGCTTAGAGAAGCTGTCTTCCGTCTTTGTTACCGTTTGCTGCTGCTGCTGCCGCGGCTGCCGCAGCGAGAGGGGCAGCGAATTGCTGCTCTCCCGCTGCAGCTGCTGCTGCGGGCAGATGAGCTTGCTGCTGCTGCTGCTGCTGCTGCTGCTG